TGCGGCCGAGCCAGTGGTGGCCGCAATTAGCGGCCGGCCGCGCGAGTTGCAGCCGCAATTAGCGGCCGGCCAGCAGAAAAAAAAAAAAATTAAAAATTAAAAAGGGCAAAATTGTCTTTTTTGGGTGCGGTATTTAGTAAAAAGGGGTGCGGTATTTAGCAACACCCTTTTAGAATACAGTCTACCCTACTCTGTAGAGCAGAGTAACTCAAAATTCAAGTTCCATATATATCTAGCATTTTGCACTAAATTTTACTCTACATCAAATATATTATTTTTTTTTTATTTTTATTTCAAATATATATATATATATATTTATATAATCTTATATAATTATTTATGAAAAATATTATAAGTAAATGTATACAAAGGTGTACATAATACTCACATTGAATAAAACCGACCAAAAATAAAAAATCAAGTGAACCCCAATGTGAGTGTTATGTACACCCCTATGTACATTATTATGTAGATATAGTACTTCTCGAGTACAAAATACAAAATACGATGGAAAAATAAAAATAATTAAAACAACGATTCCAATAACATTGCATCTAAATTTCTGAATTAGAAAATTCCTTTCATAAATGATCAATCAATGCATTACGAAGGGTGATATGAGCTTCTTTATCTTGAATTTGCTTGTATCGAGCAACAAATGCTTGGAACTGAGAAGTTTCACTACCTACCGTTTCAACATCTGGGATATCGGCCTCTACCGCATATTCGATCGGTGTAGTAAGATCTCGTTCATCCTAAATTATCATATTATGCAAAATAATACATGTAGTAATTATATCTTGTAAGTCATTTTTACTTCAAAATTGAGCATGATTAGCCACAATAGCAAATCAACTTTTGAGTACTTCAAATGCACACTCTACATCCTTTCTGCATGCTTCTTAGCTTGTTTCATTGCAAAATATTTCTTTTTTTTACTACGTGGGTCATGAATAGTTTGAACAAGAGTTGAACATTTGGGATATATATTATCTGCTAAATAATACCTCATGTTGTACTCTTTTCTTTGGATGACATAATTTGATGGAGGGGCAACTCCTTGAGTAAGATTAAAAAATAAATGGGATCTCTCTAATACATTAATATCATTGTTGGATCCAAGCATACCAAAATATGCATATCCTATCCAAAGATCATAATCGGCAATAATTTCTATAATAATAGTTGGAGATTTACTACATCATGTATACACACATGCCCAAGCCGTTGGACAATTTTTCCAACGGCAACGCAAATAATCTAGATTACCTAACATTCATGTAAAGCCATGTTGCTTACCGATATAAAGGAGTCTTGCAATGTCATTGACGTTAGGAGAACGTAGATATTGCTCTCCAAATATCTCTACAATAGCACACAAAAATACTTCACACTTTCAACTGCGGTGGACTCCCCAATATGTAAGTATTCATAAGGCACATATACCGGTACAACATATGCTATTATAAGAAGTGCAACAATTAACTTTTGATATGTAGACAATCCGAGTCTACCAACTGCATCTCTTAGCTGCAAAAAATAATCATCTTGACTTTCAACTGCATACTATACGAAAAAATAATTTTCTATACATCCGAAAAGATCTACGGAACATGGCTT